AAAGAACAGTCGAAACAATGGACTGAAAGGGAAGAATCAGCTCCAAAGAAGGCGAAAACAGTTCCATCTGCTGGCAAGGTCATGGCATCAGTTTTTTGGGATTCACCCAGGAAAAACAATCAACAGCAAGTATTATGCGAACGTATTGCAGCGCTTGAGTGATGAAATCAAGAAAAAACGGCCACATTTGGCAAAAAAGAAAGTGTTGTTTCATCAAGACAACGCAGTTCACACATCCGTTATTGCGATGGCCAAAATCAATGAGTTAAGGTTCAAATTTCTTCCTCACACAGCCTATTTGCCAGATTTAGCCCTCTCGGATTATTTTCTTTCCAAACTTAAAAAAATGGCTTGGTGATAAAAGATTTGCCAACAATGAAGAGGTGGAGTCTGCAGTTGATGGCTATTTTGAGAAGCTCGACAGTTCTCACTATAAACAGGGGATCGAAGCTATTGTACATTGCTGGAAAAAGTGTATTGAGCTAAAAGGAGACTATGTTGAAAAATAAAGATATGTTTTACCAAATTTTTTGTGTCTTCTTTGTAAGGTCGGGTACTTCTGGGACTACCCTCATACATAATGCAATCTATGAAAAAGGAATTGTACTTAAGTTAGAAAAATAAATTTCATTGCAGAGAAAAAACCCCAAGGGCAAAATTGACAATTTTAAAAATTTCAATGTTGGCTACTTCTAGTAACATTTGGTTACATTTGTTAGGTAATAGTACTAAAATAATAAAATAACCAAATTCTTTTACTTGAATATAATTTTATAACTACTTTTAAACTTTTAATTCAAATCTGTGTGAAAGTTTTTCAAAATTATAATTTTATGAAGCAAATTTTCTAGATGCTGTATCTCACTCAACTTTTAACCAATCTATTTGTTTTTAAAAAATACTCTTTTTGATCTGTAGAATAAGATAAACTGAAAAAGTAAAAATACTTTTTTCCCAATAAGACATATGTGATGCTATCTACAAAAAGAAATTTAAAGAAGATACTACTGATTAGGGCAGGGGTGGCCAACCTTTTGCATACCATGCGCCACTTTTTGATAGACGAGTTCACATGCGCAGTGGCGTACCGTGAGTGTTAGCAGCCTGGGGCGGAGAAAAATTTCGGCTACCCCTTATTTAGTTATTTCAATTTATAAGACAAAAATTCAGATTTGCCACAGAACAAGCAATGAAAAATGCGGTTGTAGTGTAGCTACCTGTATAAAATAGTTCTATATGACATCAGTGGTGTACATGAACATGAATGCATCGTGTAACGTACAAGCAAAAAAAAAAAAAAAACAAAAAGGTCAACAGGTCTATTGCACCGAATTTTGTAAGAAATACACTTGTCAAGACACACTGTAAAAAATTAATTTCCTATGTAATATTCATAATTGCAATGAAGCCAAATCTGGCAATGTTGCTCGGAACCAACTGAAGTGCCACTTGTAGTCGTTCAATGCGCCACGTTTTGGCCACCCCTGGATTAGGATTCCTCAACAGGATCCCAGTTATGTTTTTAATCTGGGAAATATCTAGGGAAATCCTGCAAATTTCTTAAAAGTTCACTTTTTTCTTATTTTGTGGTAAGGTTGAGGAAATTTTGCAAATAGAAAGTATAATTAACTCATAAACTGTCAGAATGCATTTGTATTTATTAATTTTAAACCTACTTATTAGTTTTTTTTTTTAAATTTTCCTTGTTATGGCATGTCACAAATGGTCAATAATCAATATATAGCTTATTTGTGGCAGGACTATGAAAATTCTTTACTTGTCAGAACCTGTAATATCTGGAATAATTGTGCATATGCTGTATTAATTTTTAACCATGCCCAGCAGCTTCAACAACTGTGTAATGCCAGGTTGTGCAAATTGGGCAAGGATACAAATGAGTATGAAGTCTGCAAGTATGAAGTTTTTCTTCATAACCCTGATTATTAAAGCCAAACGAATTGCAGAATTATCGGGCTATAAGCTTGATGCCGCTATTAAAACAGTCAAAGTAGACAAATGAAGAATGCTAGAGAACAAAAGTAGTACTAAAATATTGAAAACAAAGTAGATATCGTCCAGACTATAGGTGAAAAAACATATAACATCTGTCTTCTCTTAAATGCATTAAACATGATTCCACTCATCAATTAAATCGAAAAGGGCATTCTCGGTAGCAAGACTTTTCATTACTAAAATAAAAATCAGACTGAGTGATCGGAATATTGACCATCTTTGCTTTTTAAATCTTATTTAAAAAATTTACAATAATATTTTGTATTATGTTTTATTTAAAAAACAAAAATTACCTTTTAAGTTAGAAGTTTGATCTAAGTTCAGTTTTTTAAGTTTTCAAGTCAATTCAAAGTATTTTGTTTTGTTGTTGTTGTTATATGCAGTTTCCAGTAAACTTTAATAAATTTTCTCTGTTTGTGAAAATTTCTACATAATTCAATATTAATATATATCTCAATTAATATATATTTTACACAGCATTATTAATATGATTTTGGAGGTTGTAGAATGTATTAAATTACTTTAAAAAATGAAAAATAATTATATCATTTGATTTCATGATATTTTGTATATCTTAAAAATTAATTCTATCCCATCCTGGGAAACAGTTCTTTTATCCTGAAATCCTGGGACAAGCAAAATATTGGAAAATAAGAAACCCTACTACTGATTCAATCTTAAATTATTAAAAATAAAATTTAGAGTAGGGGTGACATACCTCCTCACTATAAAGCATTTATATACACACATATACCTAAAATATTCTTATCCAACTGATATTATTGATCTAATTCTACATTCAGTTACAAGTGTACAATCTGTATCAAACGTTTATTGGGTTTTGGAGTGGTGAGGATGGTGGAATAAGTCACTCTCAAAACATTAAAATGGCCTATCTTAATTGGAAGTGAATGAAATTTAAATTGCAATATTTGAGGATGATACAAAGTAAATTAAATAAATGATTTAATAATAATTAAAATTGTTTCATTAAAAATATTACAAAATATTCAAATATTTGGATTAGATCATTATTCCTAATTATTCTATATGAGTTACATCAACTGTTAATTAGATTTTTGGCTGCAATTTAAAAAAATTGTAGACCTATAAATTCTTATTGTTGTCCATCTGTCTTTCTTTAATCTTGTGAACAGTGTTAGATAAATTAAATTAAAGACCAGATATAGAAAACTTAAGGGCAGGAGGCCTCCAATTTTCTATATATGAACTTCTGATGCAAAGTGGAAGTTTTGTTATTTCAATTAAAATATTTTCCCCTGAAAGGAGGTAGATAGATGACTGGCATGTCTCTATTGCTAACAAAAAGGTATGATATATGGAGGCAAGATACTATAGTACTAATTTGAAATGGAGAGAATATATTTTAAAAAATTAAAAATTGCAGCCAGGCATTTTGGCAACATCAATAAATAATTGTTCATTAGTTATAAAAAGTTGTTTATTTTCCATTACATCCATTATATTTTTGATTTCGCTAAATAAAAAAATTCAGATAATTCTAGTAAAATTAAATTTTGAAAAATATTGATACTTGGAATAAATCTGATTAAAGTGTTATTTTCATTTGTTAAACCTTAACGTTTCCAGATTAGTCTATCTTCTGAAAAATGGAAGAATATTTCAGAAACTTTTAGGTGTAGTTTGGTGAAATACAGCAGCACAAACACAGTCTCCAGGGGAATGCCTCCCAAGTAAACTCTGTAGAAAACTGGCTTCAATTCAAGTGTAACATATGAAGAAAAGCAGAAAACTTTACATGACAAGACCATTAGTCAGGCACAAACCTCAATCAACTAGAGTTCAATGATTTTATCCACTTGGTCACAAATAGCCCCAAATATGCTTATAGATGCTTTATAATATGTATATTTGAGAAAAATATCTTTAATAAAAAAAAATAATTAAAAACAAAATATCCAAATCAGTCAATTTATTATATAAAATCTTACCTCATTGAGTAAGCCAAACACACTGGCTTTATTTCTCTCTTCCAAAAGGTCAAGACAGTGTTTATTATCTGTATAGTTTATCAATTTATAATCAATACCTTCTTCAATAAATACTGCCTAAAATTTTAAAAATTGTATTTAATATTTAATTCTTTCATTTTATATAAATAAATATTTAATTTATTTTATAAACTGTCACCTGCTCATCATGGAGAAAATCTTTAACAAAATATTGTTGAAGCTTCTCATTTGCAAAATTAATGCAAAGTTGTTCAAGACTATTGTGATTAAAATTTTCAAATCCATACACATCCAGGATACCTAAATTTCATTACACTTAAATTTATAACAATTGTTTTATGAATAATAATTATATATTACAAAAAATTAGTATTATGAGACTTATTATACACCTAAAAATACATAAACCTTTATTCTTTAGAAACACATTTTAAAATAATATTCCTGTATGATAAATTTATGAATGATAAATATGTTTTCAATATATAGAATACAACAAAATTTAAAAACAATACAAAATGAACATGTAAGTAGCAGAAATAACTAAAACTGATTCATCCAAAATTATATAAAAACAAGCAATTATTTATTATGACTATGTCACAATGCAAGTCTGCAATTTTTTATCATCATATTTTTAATTATTTAATTTAAAATATATGCTCTCCACCTCAAATTAGTAGTGGATTGCCCCTATACATCATACTTTCCTGCTAGCAATAGAGTCGTACATCATCTACCTAATTTCAGAGGAAAATTTTTTAAATTAAAATAATATTACTTCCAATTTGTACAGAATTTTGTATATACTTAAACTTTCCATATCTGATCTCAACTTTCATTTATCTAACTCCATTCTCAAGATTAAGGAAGAACAGAGACAGATGGATGACAGTGGAAATTAATAGGTCTACAATTTTTTCAAATTGCAACCCAAAAATTGCTAACAATACTATAAAATATGGTAATTTATTCCACTTCAGTAGTGATGTCCGAACTATGACCCCCAGGCAAAATCTAGCCTGTACATGTTAAATTGGTCAGCAAACATATTTGACAAATCACTTATATAATAATTAGGCTATTTCTATCATATGTAGAAATATACAAAACATTGTGACCAATTTAGCCTAATCAAGAAGTTTAGGCATCACTGCTTTAGTAAATCAGATAACTAGTTTATGAAAAATTATTATTCAGAATGTTCAATTTTAAATTGTTTCTGAAGTACAGAGTCAATCTTTGTATAACACTACTACTACTAATACTACTACAGCAAGGTTTCATTCTAATACAGGATTGCATCAATCCTTGTATGCAATAAAAGTGAGTTTTCGTGTGAGAATTGTTTCCTCCTATTGGATTAATTTTTCAATTGTGACCTGCATCAGAATCATGGCTTTCAATCTTAGAATGATGAAGCTATCAACATTAATTGCATTTTGGAATCATTGTAAATCTAGAGTCAAACCAGCATAAACAGCAAATCTCACTATTGAACAGATACTAAATAAATAGGAGAGAAAGATCATTTTTGAAGTTCAAAGTTTACAGAGAAAAACCATATGTAGTTTGTCTATAGAATGAATGAATTTGGGTATTAACCAATGAGCATAAACCATTAATTGCTTCATTGTGGCAAGTTACTCCCAGTTTCTTCCTTATTTGTTAAACATGTCACTGCCATTATTAACAATATTTTTGGAAGCTTCACATTCTAGTATTGAAATACAAGCAAATTCACTATAGTAGTAGTTAAACACATGATATTTTACAGTTAATGATTATTATAAATATAAAAAAATTAACACAATTAATGGAAAAGTTGTTCTGGAATCTAGTGAAAGACAAATAAAATAAAATAAAATTCACACATTGCCTGACATAAGTGAAAAGTGCTGACATCATTAAGGAATGTGCTGATTAGTTTAAGTGAAATGACATCATGTGTGATGCTGCTCAAATGGATTCTTTCCATAGTCTACAGCAAGATATACCCTTAACTGAGTAATTAGGATTTAAATTTTTTTAATGCAAATATTTAAAATGAAAGCAGCATATAGTTGAAAAGGAATTTCAGAAATGTCATACCATAAAATTAACAAGCAAAAATAAACTATGTTACTGATTTTCTAATACAATAACTGCTAATGTCACACATTTGCATTCTGCATAGTGATTGAATGATTCACATACTGCACAGCTATGTCCATTATTGTTTTGAATTCAAGTGCTTAATATTTCACTAGCATTCTTTAATAACTACTAAATTTTTGTAGGAACAGTCTTGTAATACTTTTTTATTTTTAAGCTTGTTTTTGGTGTGCACATTTTTTTATGACTGATAGCAATGCTGTACATTCTTATAGTAAAAAAACAAATTAATGTTTTATATGCTCAAAAATTATAGGATAAAATATAAATAAATTCTTGGATAATTTAGATCAGTGTTTTTCAACCTGTGGGTCACAACCCCCAGGGGGTCGCAAAGCCTTACACAAGGGGTCACGGGTAAAAGAAAAAGACAAAGTTTTTGTAGGTCCTACACTACAATAAAAAAAACTACAATCTCAGTGCCTGTTTGTGTCAATTGTACTGTAAAATAAACAGGCATAGCCTGTTTATTTTACAGTACAATTGGTTTTTTGATTGATATTTAGGTCTCAACAGAAAAAAACTTAAATATGTAATTTTTAAAATCACTGACATAGTATTAATATGGCCCTGGGGGTTGCTAGAATTTTTTAACTTGTAAAGGGGTCACTTATTCAAGAAGGTTGAAAAACACTGATTTAGATAATAGATTTTTTCACGAAGACAATACTTCATTCAATTATGATAAGTTTTAAAAATAAATTCATTACTGTCTTCTTTGAAAACAATAGAAATGAATTAGAGGTTCTGGTAATATAGTATGGGAAGAGAGTGTAGTAGTGTCACAGTGTGGCAACACTTCTACCCACAGTACTTAATCTCTTGGTCTGGCAGCACTATTTCTTGCTGCATTTAAATTTGTAACAGTCATGCATTTTAGACATGAATAAAACCTTTCTTAAGATAACTACTCTGTCTCTTTATACTACAATTTATTCGTGTCTAAAACTACTTAGGATGGATAGCCTACTCAAACCTGAATGTTTTAATGTCAATCCAAATATTAGTGGTTCCTCTCAACAATGGTCCCATTTGTAAGAACTTTCAATAACTTCGTATCATCAACAGAAATGGACAATGTGAGGAAGTTCAGTCTTCTTGTTAATTTTGTTGGTTCCTTAGTCTACTCTTATATAACAGAGTGCTCTGAATTTTAGGACGACATTAAGTATTTGACTGCCCTATATGAGAAGCCTATAAATATAATTTTTGCTCGTCATTGTCTAATTAATCGTCACCAGCAACCCGGTGAGTCCATTGACCAGTATTATCAGAATCTTAGGACATTAAGTAAAGACTGTAACTTCACCTCTGTCTTGACTGAAGAGTATAAAAGTGAATATGTATGTGATGCTTTGATACTTTTATTGCAGGATTGTTATCGCCTCAGATACGACAGCACCTTTTGGAGACTCATACTTTAAAACTTGTAGATGCCTTATCACAAGGCTGTGATTTAGAATCCGCCTGTGTTCAGTCCAAAACTTTTGCCTCTAATACTAGTACAGTAAGTGCTATCCATATCTCCAATAAAAAGGAGTTGGCAGAAGAGAATTTAAATAATACCGAAGATAATGCTTTGCCCTCATACCTGCTGGCTGCTACTGAACATAGGTGTCCTTATTGCGACTATATGAAGCAACTTTGCAACAGATGCCCTGCTAGAAACAAAGATCACAATAAATGCAGAAAGAGGGGACACTTTTCTAGAGTCTGTAAAAGCAAAAAAAGCAAGCCAACTATGGCTCTGTAGCCTTGGCAACTGTTGCTCACAGCCCTTTGTCTAGAGCTACAGTTAATATACAGCTAAACATCATGTTAACTCAAGCCCTAGTGGATACTGGCAGTTCCAAGAGTTTCATAGATTATAATTTTGCACTGTGTCACACCTCAGAATTATTCCACATTCCGCTCAAGTTTCTATAGCTATGACTGCTTTAAGTTCGACTGTGAGGGGTTGGTGCATAGTTTCTATTAACTTAAAGAACCATACTTATCCAAAGATTTCGCTGTTTCAGTTATCTGGTCTATGTACTGATGTAATTTTAGAGCATGATTTCCTAGCTTTGCATGCTGATGTGTCTTTCAAATTTGGTGGCTCTCATAAATCATTGTCGATCTGTTCTGCAGTGTTTGCGAATGTGCCATCGGCCCATCTCTTCAAACATTTGTCAAAGATACAAGGCCTACTGCTACTAAATCTAGGTAGTTCTTTAAACCAGATCAGGATTTCATTGATGTAGAAATTAAGAAGTTGATGGCTGAGGGTATAATCAAAGAAAGCAATTGGTGATTGTACCTGGTCCAAAGAAAAGGTTAGTCATAGACTACTATTTCATTATTAATAAGTTTTCTGAATTAGATGCATTCCTTTTCTCCCTAGAATTGATGACTTGATTCAGAAAATAGCCTCTTATAAAGTTTTCAGTAAGATAGATTTGCATCGAGCCTACCATCAAATTCCCATTCCAAAAGAAGACATACATTATATGGCATTTGAAGCTTGTAACAAATTGCGGCAGTTTAAGGTGATTAGTTTTAATCTCACTAATGGTGTTGCTGGATTTCAACATTCTATTTCTCAGTTGATTGCTAAAGAAGGCTTAATCAACATGTTTGCTTATTTGGATGATGTTACTGTCTGTGGCAGAACTCAGGAAGAACATGATTGTAATCTTACTCATTTTATGGACATGGCTCTTAAGTATAACTTAACACTCAACAAAGCGAAATGTTCATTCTCTTCTAGATCTATTTGTATACTGGGTTACTTAGTTGAAGGGAAAGCTATACATCCAGATCGTGAACGTCTAAAGCCCTTGCTAGAATTACCTCTCCCTACGGTTATTACATCTCTTTGCTGAACAGTAGGAATGCTGGCCCACTATGCACAGTGGATAAAGAAATTTAATGAGAAAATTCAACCTCTAGCCCAGAGTAAGTTGTTTCCATTGCCAGCTAAGGCTGCCATGATCTTTTCAGATTTGAAAGCTGAAATATCTCATTCCACCTTGACTCCTGTTATTAACAATGTGCCTTTTGTTGTCGAAACAGATGCTTCTAATTTCGATATTGGTGCTACATTGTCCCAGGAAGTTAAACCTGTGGCTTTCTTCTCACGTTCCTTGAATAATAGTGAGAGAAAACACTCTAGCATAGAGAAGGAAGCATATGCTATAGTTGAGGCATTAAAGAAGTGGAGACATTTCTTAATTTGACGTCATTTTACATTAATTACTGACAAATGTTCTGTAGTTTTCATGTTTCATTCTAAATCTAATAGTAAAATTAAGAATGATAACATTCTAAGGTGGAGATTGGAACAATTGTGTTACAGGTTTGATATTATTTACCGCCCTGGTAGTCAGAACACTGTTACTGATGCTCTATCAAGAATTTGCTGTGTTCTTCCTGATTTGAAGAGACTCTCTGTCCTCCACAACTCTCTCTCTGCCACCCAGGTGTAACTCGTTTTTATCATAGTAGGAACTTGCCATTTTCTTTGAAGGAAATAAAGAAATTAACTGCTTCTTGTCCCTCCTGTGCAGAATTGAAACCAAAATTTCTTGGTCCTTCTAACCACCTAATTAAAGCCATGTCTCCCTTCGAACGTTTAGACATCAACTTTAAAGGTCCTCTTCCTTCCAAATCGAGGAACCGTTACCTTCTGACAACAATAGATGAATATTCAAGATTTCATTTGCATTCCCTGCCAAGACGTAAGCAGTAGTACTATTATTAAGTGTCTTCATCAGCTATCTTTGGAGCCACAGCATATAGATATTCTTTCAATCTTTGGAGCCCCATCATATATACATTCAGATAGAGGAGCTGCATTCTTATCTTGTGAACTTTGTTCTTTTTTCACCTCTATTGATGATGTTTCAAGTTTCTCCACTATAACACTTGACAGGAGTTATAATGGTATTATTTGGAAGACAATCTCCTTGGCTCTCTGCTCGTCTAATCAAAGTATTGATCAGTGGGAAGATGTACTAGGTGATGCATTTCAATGCTGTTTGGTCTCTCCTATGCACCTCTACAAATTCTATGCCTCATGAGAGATTTTTCAGACACCCCCGAAAAATGGGAATAGGTATTAGCCTTTCCACTTGGTTGCTATCGCCGGGACATTCACATAACCGCACCAATAAATATGCCCCTCTAGTTGAGGAAGTCCAGTTATTGGAGGCTAATCCCAAGTACGCTCACATTCAGTATCCTGATGGGGCAGACATTGACAGTGTTCCTAAGGAACATTGCACCTCGAGGTAAACCTTTGTCTGAATCCTGAAAAGATGACATGGTCCTTCCTAATATTTCAGCTCATATTCCCGATCAAGCTAGCTCTGATGTTCAGGCAACACCTCCTCCACTTTGCAAGAGCAATTTGTATCCCTCCCAAGTTGAAGATAAAGATATTTTCTTATCCCCAACAGAAGTAATCAGGTTGCCTCATTCTGCAAGGCAGTGTCGTCAGCCCAGTTATTTGAAGGACTATATTATGTAATGTAAGTGGGAGAGAATGTAATAGTGTCACAGTGTGGCAATACTTCTCCCCACAGTAGTTAATCTCTTGGTCTGGCAGCACTGTTTCTCGCTGCATTTGAATTTGCAACAGTCATGTATTTTAGACACAAATAAAACCTTTCTTAAGGTAACTACTTAGTCTCTTTATACTACAGAGATGAGGGGGAAAAAACTATGCAGAACAGGCTCTGACAATAGAAAATGAAAGAGACTGCTCTAAATCACATTAGCTTTGTTTTTTGACATTAACTACATATATGTCAGGCGTAGCTTAATGGTATCAATCAAAAGTATCAATAATTTACTACTACATTTTTATTATTTTATAAAAGATTATTAACCCACTTTTAATTATGCTGTAAAAACTTTGATGTTCCAGGTTCTCTTTTTGGATAAAGTATCTAAGGTCAAATTAAACAGCAAAATTTATTTTTCATCATAAAAAAAATTTTTTTTCACTGTGCAAATCTTAAGTTTTCTCCTTTTCACCACATTTATTTTGCACATAACTGAAATTATTTTAGAAACTGTTTTGTTGTACCTTGAACAACATAACCTGGATACAACCATTGATAAAAAGAGAATGTTCTACTTTGTATTTCTTTTTCAGTATCTGAACTTATTCGCTTCACTGTGGCACAATTTGAAATAATAAAAGACCACATTATCTCAAACAGTACAGCACTATAATAGTAACTAAGAGCAATATTTAATTTCAGATTTTCTATGGTGGAATATTTTAATACTTCTATTGAAATTACAATTATTTTTTTGTGATTTTGACAGGCCACATATTCTGTAATTGACTAAAAATGATGCAGTGCCTGTTGATTTAATAGCCATGCCTAATAGGTGTAATTAATCGACCTACAATTTTCAGATTACAGACCTACACATTTTCACTGTCATTTGTTTGTCCTCTGTTAATCTCAAGAATGGAGTTAGGTAGATGAAAATGAAAACTAAATATGATAAGCTTAGGAGCAGGAGGCACCAATTAAATATTTATGAACTTCTAATCTGTACCCTAAAAAAAAGCACATTTTTTAAAAATTAAATGACAATTAAAAATAGCATTGTGACAATGTCACAATAATATACATTTAATTTTTATCAATATATGTTTAATTAAACAACAGCTTTTTATGTTTTTGGAACAATATCCCCCTTTTCATACTTCTTTCACAAGATTTCATGCTACTTGAGATTTGTAGGAACTTGGTTATCATATGACAGTTATTAATAATATTAAATCAAAGTATTTATTAATTTATAAATATATCTTAGTTAATAATAATTATATCTATGAAATCAAGTTCTAGCTTTATAAATCAAGTCTATTATCCAATCTAAAAACTAGTTAATTATATATTTTGATTGATCAACTTTACAATTCAATGATTTGCTTTAAAAATTATTATAAGCAAACAAGTGTATGAATAAATATATTATACACTATATAATCATCATTAAGAATAAATCATAGTTAACATACTTTTAGGAACTATTTAGTTTTATTAAATAAACTATAAACTGCTTAAAACCAGAACTTTAAAAAAGACCAAAATATTTTAATTTTATAGACATAAAAATATATGTATGTTACCTATAAAATAATCCCACACTGGAGATGCTACTTCTTGATTAATAAATTTCACCAACCAGTCAAATAAACTAAAAGAAAAAAAAATTTCTAAAACAATTTTCTCAAAAATTCTTAAACAATTTCAATATTCATTTTATTTACTATGAGTAGCGTAGTAGTAAAATGTACCATATTTTTCCCCCCCTTACTTTTTAAGAAAGGCCAAAAACTTCTCAGGCAAAACTATAGAATATGGAATGATAATTTGAACTGATACATAACCAATACTAGTGCATACATTATGTTACCGTATGATCAACAAAATATAATCTCAGATTCAGCAGTACAATGTGTCTGTTTTGCCAAGTGGTGCAGTTTGACTGAAAGATTTGCATATGCTTCAGACAGTTACAGAATTTACAGCACATGGTGCATTTTGTAAACAAGTGTGCAATACAATTATTTCAGTTTGAAGTATCTATATTAAATACCATTTATTACTAAGGACCAGATTTGTGTGTTTAAATTTGTAATATATGCAAATATGCATATAAAAATGTCAGTTATAAGCACTATTTTATGTTAAAACGTCCAAAATACACATCATGCATGTTAAAAGTGCCAATAATATACACTAAAATTTATAGGTTGAAATACACAAGTACTTTACTTTGCTTATAAGAAAAATTACTAACAACTATTACATTGCACTTTTTAAATAATAGAGAATAAGCAAGGGATTTGAAAATCATGACATTACAAAATATGTATTAGAAAAAGATTTCCCAAACTTTTTGGACTACCAGCCCTTTCAAATGAATACATTTCTTTAGCTCCTCCATAAAATCATTCAAAAATGACTATTAAAATTTATTTCTTAATTTAAACTAAGAATTTAATGTTTTATTTTATAAAACAAGAACTTTAAGATACTTTTAGAGAATTATCACTTAAGTTTTATGCTTCAAAACTGACTTTAGTGTATTTATCTAAAGTTCAATAAATTACTAAAAAATTACATCATTTACAATAATGCAAACAAGCTATAAATTTTATAAAAGCACTTCTTTAATCCAAAAATGGTCGCATCTACGAAATATGTAGTAAAAATCAAACTCATAAAATATGCTTTATTGGACAATCTTAATTTGATCTACTTGGACTCAAATAGTGTTTCTATCATATCATCATCATTATAGCATTTAAGGAGTAAAACCATGCTTGTGCATACAAATTAGTCCTTGATTATTTTTTTCTTGTGGTATGTTTTGCAACAGAAAAATAAAATCTTTCCACCTACAAAATTTCATTAATTTGGATTGGTGAGAAGAGTCTATAATTTTTAAATTTAATACAATGACTTTTGTACTGTATATCAACAGATGCTTAAAATTTTATAATCAATGCAAATCTTTCAGTATTTTTTTTTGTTTTACTTAAAAATGGAAATAATTGTTATTCATATATATTAAATATATGGTATATTCCCATTTACACAGCATCTGAAACCAAATTAAATAATATAAATGTTAATTTTTTATTCATTTACTTTGTTCAAAAACAATCAAAACTTTATATTTTCTTTTTTTTAATATAGAATATTTATAATTCATCCATCATAAATAAGCAGATGATAAAATCTAATCAAAACCTATGTTGGAAAATCAATTCATAGTTTTTTTCTAACAGGCACATTGCATTCATCTCTTAAAATGTGTCTAAATAAAGTTCAAAGAATTAGGCCATCAATTTAACACAAAACTTTGGTTCTAAATGAAAATATAATTATTTTGCAAATAAATACACTAAACAGTATGATTTATACTATTCAATGTATATTATATAATTTTAATCAAATTTATACATATCATCATCTCATACTTTACGTTTGTTATTAATATATGCTTTTAAAATACATCTGATTTAACAGACTCAGCAATAACAGACTAATTAGGGGAAGAGGTGTCTACTAAATCAAGGGATTATTGTATTAGAAAAAATTTCATCTATCAACATATGACAAATACACTATTACTTTCTAACAACAAATTGATCTTATAAACTGTCACAGACTAATTATATATATTCACATTACAATCCTTTATGAGCAAAGAAACCAAGTCCAAATTATAACAAATTCTAAATTAAGATTTTATTGTAAATTATTACTTTCAAGTTAGATGTAACATTTCAAACCTATCATAAATAAATCTAACAAGACAATCTCTTCTTGCTTCACATTCTTTAATAGTACAACATGGTTTGGTATAGACAGATCTTCTAATTGTTTTTCCAGCTGTTATGGTCTTAACAATTAGAATTTTCTCTAATGTAGATGATGATAATCCTAATAGAGTTGAAGCTGCTTCAATATTATGTGTTTCTGAGAAAAAAAAATAAATAAAGATTACTTAAAATAAAAAATTTATTATAAAAGATACTTCACAATATATACTTTTCGCAGATTCACTAATGGCTACGCAATCATCACCAGGATTTAACTTAAAACTTAAATTTCTTAAATGAAGCAAAGCAGAAAGAACCTGAAATAATAAAAAAATTAAGAAAATACAAATTACCTTATTTTTAAACTTTGTTAGTTTACAGACTTACTAGCAGACATGCCCAGCATTGTCCAAATGAAAAGTAACAAGGACTAACATTAAAAATTAAAACTATATTAAAAGTTTGACTATTTTAGGTCAACTCAAATCAACAGTGTTATTTCAGAAGATCATCTGAATCTATAAGACCCTATTCTAAAAATATGGTTTACAGACTGTGGCATCATCATCATCAACTATTATACAATGCTTACTTAGATAATAATATATTAAACTTAAATTATTAAGCATCAAGGAAATGAAATTGGGGTATCTAGTTTCACGATAGTTTATTTTATGCAGGAATCTAGAGAACTATGAAAAATTTGAACCAGATCAGCCAGTATAGAAGTGCGTATAAAAAGCATGTGTGTGCACATACATCCATATTTATTCTAATAAACAGTACAGCCGTAAGATAAAGTTACAAGCATGCTGTTCATTAGAATTGTAAAATTATAAACTGTCTTAGATGACACCATTGTAAGGTTCCCACACTGGAAACCTTACAATGATGTCATACAGCCTTCTTATTGCCAAACATAAGTGATTACACTCAGAAATTTCTGATACTAAGTAGGTTACACCTACTATGAGTTTTTGCATGTTTTGTGGATGGCAATAACATGGTCTTGTATGCAAGAATAGGGGTAAGAGGACGGAGTAGAAAATGACAAGATTCATTTGGAAGGAGTCACTCAACACAATTAACTACACTTAAACATTTAGTAGACAATATCAAGTTTGTACGCTACATTACACAGCAAGTTAATGCATGTAAATGCAAATACTATGTCTATCATCAGAGAGAGAGAGAGTGAGAGAGTGAGAGTGAGAGAGAGTTTTGTTTGTTTGTTTTGTTAAGTTATGACAATGCAACACTTGGGCAATCTGTTTAGGGGGATGTCTTCTAGGAAGTCTTTTTTAAGGGTAACTGGCTCCTATTCATGTGTTACAGATGTGGAGAAAACCCAGAAGACTCCATATGGCCAGCCTGTCCTGGCGAGGTGCAAACCCACAACCGAACTGCCAGTGTTCAGGAAATGGAACCATTTGACCACTGGTAGGCCCTGCAAAGAGTGTGTGTTCACAGATTTCAATTCCTTATGGGTCTGAACCAGAAATCCCATTTTGTGAAGAATTGGAAATCTGTCCTTGATGTCAATTAACAGTTCTTGAGAGTAGCAGAAAACAAGCAGAAGAATGATGAAAATATAGAGGCACACAAATGAAACTGTAGACTAATAGCACACAGGCATAATCTTAAAAGAATGAGCAACAACTGACTAAAATCGACCATTCTTTGTCATATTCAAAAAGTGCAGATTCCTTAGAGGTGTCATTGGGTCACTATTGACTCTCAAGAGGTGTAGGTTGACACTCTCTGAAGTCAGAAAGTTTAAATACTAGCTTCTAATAAGATCATCATCTTTTTCTTTAACTTGTTCAATTCCCACAGAATAAATACAGTAGTCAAATTTTAAAATATTAAAATTATAACAAATAATTCAAATATAGTTTTCTAGAAGCAAGATTCTTTTTAACTCTAGGTTAAAACTAAACAAGCAAGTTTAAAAAAAATAATGCTGAATCATTAACTGGCAAACAGAGTACATAATGATTTTAAAAACAGTGTTACTATATAATATTTTATTATTTTAGAATTATCTTAAGTAGAAGAAACCCAGGCTTCCATCTAGGAAATAAAAAAAAACCTGATTTAGAACTTAATAATTCTGAAGATAAAAAAAATTGATTTTTCTTGTTTTACTCAACAATGTTAACAACAAAGTTAAAGAAAAATATTGTTTTTCTTTGATGGTCTTTTTAAAATTAATTTTTATTGTAAATAATTAGTTATTTTCAAGAAATCATTCATTCATAACACTGAATCTCATCATCATCTTTCTAGAATGATTTTTACAAAAATACTAAAAACAGCACTGTTTCTGGAATTAACAATTTAGAAAGTTTTGAGCAATAAAAACAGCAGAAAAATAACAAAACATTTAAATCAGCACAAAAAAAGTACAATGTTTAAGGTTGTAATCATCATCATCATAAAATCTAAATTCAAATATCTAATATGGACTTTTCCTGTCTTTTGCTAATGAAATGTGCTTAAGGGAATTTCCAATGGTATTCTATCATAAGTGTTTTAGATTTTAATGTATTCAAAATGGCCTCATTCCAATTAATTTGAACCACTTCTTTATCAATCTATTGAAAGATCTCTTAAGTCTTTTCATACAAATTTTGCTTATGTCTGTGTGCTTCTTATGGGAAACTTCAGAAAATTCTGTAAATTCTGGCTTGGAATATCTGCTCTTTTTCATTTTTGAAAAGATTTCTTACTGTGCAAAATAATAGACAACAGCATTAAATGAATTTTCAATATAGTGCCTAGTAATGATCTTTTTCAGTATATTACAATATTAATAACACAGTATTTAGTATAATACTGTTCTGAAGTGGCTTATAGTATAAAAATTACAAAGTTAATGAGCCCTATTAATTAAAAAACAAATTAACTGAAAATGTATTAAACTCAGTACAACCTGTATCTGTATGTTAAAAAAATGTTAAATTCTAGTTTTTCAACTGCTTGAGTTCACAAAACCAGAATTAATTTCTTCTTCCTTCTTAACATTTAACAAAAAGAAAATATTTTAATTTTTCCTTATTCAGTTATTTCTATTAAAATCTTCTTATTACAGTAGAGCGTTGTTTATCCGAATCAATTGGGAACTGGGGTTGTTCGGATAACTTATTTTTTGGATAACCAATTATGTACGAAAAAATATATTAATTTATCCCATGTTGAAATTTTTCTCCGTTGCATGTCGCTTCGCGTTGAATTTTCATCGATGTTAAGCCTAACAAAGACTATTGTATCATTAAAAATTATTTTTTTTTATTTTGTACAAACGAAATAAATATATTGAAAAATATAAAAACAATAAAAAATTATACCTCAGAAGTTAATTTAGTATCAAAAACGTAAAATATTTGAGTAGCTGAAAACATAGCCAAAGATTACAGTGCCACAGCACTGGCGAAAATTTAAATTTGTCAACTGGAATTCCTTTGGATAACTGACCTTCGGATAAATGACGCTCTACTGTAGATGCATAACTAGCTTATCATCTTTAGTTAACAAAGCCTTAAAAATGTTACCATAATGTAGGTTTCATTTCTCCTCCAAATGATTTGGAGGGAGAATGAATGCAAATAATACATGTGCTTCCTACATAATTGCAATAAAGAATTGATAAAATACAGTATCATGTTTTATACAACTTTGAATTTTTTTTCATTTAACCTTTCCTTTTTAAATCACATCAAAAACATTTACAACTTGTAAATATTTGCACTATTAATAATACACTGGCATATAACACACACAATCATCTTACACAGTACTAATCTTGCACACAGTTTTTTGGGTGGCATGCAATTTCTATGTGTTGCTGGCAGAGTATTGCAGCAATAGCAAATTTACAGAAAAAACGGGACAAAGAATACCATTATTACCACCACCATTCATGAAAATATATATTAATATTACCCAACTGAAAAGTAGAAACAAAATAAGACTAACTTTTAATTTGCACTAATTCCTTTATAAATTATTTGTACATGAAATTTTTTTATTATTACTATTATTTTGAATTTTTGCATCTCCAAAATTATGCTCCTAAGCCAGTTCTGGGGCACATTGATGGGATAAAGTATACAACAAATGGGTAGTTTGCCAAAAGGAGTGACTCCCAGAAGGATTTTGGGAAATTAGCTTCTATTTAGATGTTACACATGTGAAGAAAACCTGGACTCTACATGGCCAGCTTGTTGATCAGGTGCAAACCAGGACCAATTAACAAATTACTAGTGTTCAGTAATTTCATCCACCCAGCCACTGACGGGCTATTCAATAAATTTACTTCTTTCAATGTATTTTATAAAGTTCAGTAATTGATACACAAATTATATAATCTCAGTACACAAAATACTTAATTATATTAAGTTAGCTGTCAAAATAGAACTATTTTGCAATATATTGATTGAGATAAATAAAATGTAAAAGTAAAATAAACTAAGAGATTAAACAAAAATGTTTTATAGTACATTCAGAAATAGTAATCAAATATATTGTTTATATAATTATATAAAAAAAAAAATTCTTAAAAATAATATTTACTTATTAAAAATAAAAAGGAAAAAAATAAATAGTAATTTTACCTGAAATATATCATTTTGTGTATTCATACATAAACCAATATCATTCATTGCATCTTTTGTTGCTTGAAATTTTATCTTATCTTGATCTACAATTTTTAAAAAATTGGTTTTACATTTTTTTTCAAAAGATATCATTAAATAATTATATAATTCCATTTATTACATTAAAAATTTGTTGTAGAAGATAATTCACAGTTTTAAATGATACGTTACTTGAAATCAAATTCATCAATTTGTAGAAATACAAAGCTTTTTAAAATACCGTATTTACTCGCATATAAGATGAGATTTTTAGTCATTTTCACTGTTTCAAAAACCTAGATCATCCTATATGGGCAAACGAAGGATTCTTTGTCTTTTTTCAATAATTTTTGTGAACCATGTATTCACCTTGTGTTTAAAAACAAAAGTATTTTATCTGGGTCATTTGAATCGTTCTTGTGTATTGCCAGGAGTAAAGGTGAAAAGCAGTAGAAAAAGCAAAACTTTTGAATTCAATTCCAAAATCACATGGGAGCCTGATATAAGTTTTAATCCATTCCCATGTGAAAACAGATGGTTATTTGGAATTTTGAAGAAACTCAAAAGTGTAATTGACGAAGAGTGAATTTGACTGTTAAGAATTGGCAAAAAAAATTCCTGATTGTCCAGCTTTACATGAACAAATTATGTTGTTGATTTTACAAGATTTTTCAAGAATTTTCTTAAAGTTTAAAATGCCAGTAATTTTTGCGGGACAATACATGCATTTACATTCATTTGATATTTTACTTGTGATTAAATGAAATAAAATTAGAATTGTATTAATAAATCTAATTTTCTTTATTTTGATCTTTAATGTCACACCTTGTCCTATATGTGAGTAAATACAGTACATACAAAGTATATGTATGCAAAGAGCAACTCAATTTTTTCTTTTTTTCAAAAATTAAAAGCAGTCATTACAATTAATAATGAACACTAAATGACTGTTAATGAGTAAAAATTATTTTACGACACAATGAATGAAAGAGGAAAAAAAAAAAAAACACCACATTTTAATATCTATTGGAAAACATCAGGAATTGAGCATTAGCATTAAGTCCAGCTGTGAATTTTAAAGTATAGTATTTTGCTAACAAATAAATTACTGAAGTAATATAAAATGCTTATCAAAACCAAAGTTGTTATTTATTATTATAAGTAATTATTACCTTGGAAGTTGTCAAACTATGAATATGTGAGACTCAGCACTACATACTGATAATTTATTTACATAACTAAATCATAATGTAACATTTTGACAATAAAATTTTGTTGGATAACTGTCAACTTTCACACCTGGAAGTTAATCGTTTAAGTTCTCAGCAGCAAAAGTGACGCTTTCTCATAACCTCCCAACCTGTTGTCTTGATTTCATCAGTTAAATATAGCAACAAACTGAAAGTTTAGGCAGTCGTCGCCAGTTGCTTGCCCGATAATGTTAACTTTATTGCCTCTGAAACGTATTATACTATCAACTCTGACCCGAAACATTAGTGCCTCTGAAACGGAATACCTTGTCAACCACAAATTGGAATAACTTCATCTTTGAAACCCAAATTAATTCGAGATTCCATTGATTTCAAATCTACTCCTGGAAAGTTTACTTCAAAGTCTAGTCATACATAAATTGTCCAGAACTGTTCTCATCCTCTCCTGCAGCAAGACTACAACCAGATCCTTCAAACTTCAAAGGTATTTATCGCCACATGAACCTCATGTAAACGCTCTCTCTCTCAACTGCTAGATTGATAGGCTAAATCAATATACATCTATCCTGATATATCTATTGTATTGTATCATGTACTCCTTTTCGTTGAAATTAAATCATTAGTTGTTAACTTGGTATCCGAATGATTCACTTCCAGTAAGTTGTCTCTCAATCTCTCTCCATCCCGAATCTGATTGCCCATGCACGCGGCTGTTCGTGTGACCGAATCAACATGCCATCTCAGCTTCTGTGTCAATTGGGACACAGTGGTGTCAGTCCTGACGAGGCACTAAAGAGGTGCTGACCCTCTGGTCACAAATATGTAAAATTGATGGTGCATAAAAAAAAAATCTCTGTTAAAAGATATGTTGGGTTTAATTCAAAAAAATACATACAACAAAATTTTTGATAAACATTTACAGTTACATTCTTATAAAATAAATATGAAAAGATCTTCATAAGCTTTAAATTATTATTATAATCAAATACAAATGAATTACATAATGTTAATTAATAAACATCATTTCTAGATCGTAAATAGAAGGTAGCTTCAAAAAGTTCCGAGAATTGGTTTATTACTCAAAAGTATGCATATAATTGATAAATTAAGCAACATATCCTTCAAAGTATTGCCCTTTGGCAACAACACACTTTGGCCAATGTTAATATAGCTGCTGAAAACATTCTTGGAAGCTGTCATATGACAGCAATGCAGATGTCACACTCTGTATAACCTCAACCACATTCTTGAAGTGGCATTCCTTGATGGCATCTTTCAACAAGGGGAAGAAGTAGAAATTGCATGGAGTGAGATCCAAAGAGTATGGAGGATGCTCCAATGTGATCACTCCAAGTTTGTTCAGGTACTGCTTCATCAGCCATGCTGATGTACAGACATTGTCATGGAGAACATCCATGTATTCTTTTCCCAATGGCACAGACATTTTCAGTGGATGGATTCTTTAAGATGGCGAAGGATGTCAACGTACATCTTGTTGACTGTGCAACCCTCAAGTATGAATTCATAGTGAACAATCCCCTAGGAGTCAAAGAAGACCTCCAACATGACCTTCCCCTTACTCCTGTCCTACTTGAATTTCATGGACCACATAAAGTAGACAACTTCCATTCCATGAACTGTTGTTTTGGTTGAGGATCATGCAAGAAACATCAGGTTTAGTTATTTGTGATAATGTCAAGAAATTCTGGATTCTTATCAGCCAATTAGATGAGATCTCCAAACAATGTCTTGCAAGATCTTGCTGGTCTGCCATGAGCATTCATGGCACTGTGTTGGCAAGCATGGTGCATGTTCAATTGATCATGCAGGATGGAATGACAACTTTCAACCGAAATTCCAGCTGTCTTGCCGATCAGCTCAATTGACTGCTATCTGTTTGTCTGACCTCACAATCTCGCATACAACTGTCACTTTCTCCTCAGATGTTAATGTCAATTTCGCAAGCATCACAAATCATCAGCAATACTTTCTCATCCCTCTTGAAAGCATTTATGCCAGTCATAAACTTGAGAATGCTTCATGGCAGATTCAACATAGGCATCCTGAAGCATCTTCAAGGTCTCAGAGGGTTTTTTTCTCCAACAACACACAATTTGATATTGCACGTTGTTCTTCCACAGACATTTTTGCCAGACTCCGTATAACAATGTCTCACTAACACGACCTTCAGGAATGCTGTTACTTTACAACAAGTACATACTTGTTTGAACACATTTCTCTATTCCTGACATGTTTAGCTAAGACATGCATTACATGTTCCCTTTCTCATTGCCTTTAATTGACTAACTCAGCACAATTCCGGAACTTTTTAAATCTACCTTATATATTAAAAAATAGTAGCTATATAACTTGAAATATAAATAGTTCTGTAATAATAGAGAGGTTGAGGTGCATGTATTCAGCCCAAAACGTAAACGGCGGACGGACGAGCACTGCCATCTGGCAAGTCTAGAAGGTTGACAATGGCGTTCACTACATCTAGCATGGCAAGTAGAAGTTGGGTTTAAACTTCTTCCTTTTTTCGTGTTTGTGGTTAAAATTATGACCTATTTTATTAAAATAATGATTATTTAAGCATTTACGAATAATACTGTAAAGAAACAAACGAGTTTAATCCAGAAATTATTTAATTATTCAATTTTTCAATTTTTTAGCAAGTGATGTGAAGTGCCTATAAAATATACATATATTTGTCTTCATAATAGCTTATCTTAAAATAGGTTTGTTATTCCACAGCATAATACATTTGTAAATTTTATAAACACAGAGAGTAGGTTGGGACATGGTAGAGAGAGGAAGGGTGAAGTGGTGGTCCCTGAAAGTGACAATGTCGAGTTTCAATTTTTTAAAATGTAAGTACCTTTTTCTTCATGTTTTAAATTAAACTGTGGCTTTTCTTACCTATCTAAACATAGTACAGTCGACCCCCCTATAATTACGGTCCCTATAGTTACGATTCCTATAAAACTACAAAAAAATTGCTACCGGTATCCGTAAAAAATAGTAAAAGTTCCCTATAAACACCTCAAACGTCATCGGGAAGCCGAACTACTTTCCCGCCGTCCGTAGCGCCACGTTACGGAGAGATTTCTATCGTCTGGACAGTATTATATAAATTATATATAAATTAGGTACTGTACATATAATTATATATTAATTATATATAAATTAGGTACTGTATATATAATTATATATTAACTTATTGTAACTTTGTTATAATTAAATATATAATTTCCGCCGTCTAGCGTGGCGCCACGCTACGGAGATTTTTACGCTAACTATCGTCTGTCAGTATGTAAATTAGGTACCGTAAGTCTAATACAGTACTGTAATTTTATACATTTCTTGTGAAAGAAACATTTCTTATTCAACGGCGATTAAAATTATTTATATTAATGATGTCTCCGAAGTTCTACGAAGTTTTCACAGAAAAATAAGTTGTTAGAAATCGGCCGCTCTTTGCTGAGCTGTTCCGCGACGAAAACAATGTTGAGCAATGGCAATGTCGAATGGTGACACTCGGTAAGTAATCCTACAATTTTTTGTTTATAGCGTAGTTTATACGGATTATTCCCAAAAAATATATACGTATTTTGGAAATGTTGAGTCGGATTAGTCTAGAATCGATTAATTTTATGGAAGAAAATCTTTCAAACAGCCGTAGTCCGTAAACTTGACACGTGTCGGGTTGTGATTGGAAGGATTCGTAAGAAAGCGGATTCCTAGAGAATGGAATGTATCTCTATCTTATAGGGGGGTCGACTGTATGTATTACACACCTCCCCTCGCCACTTAGACTATGCCTACGACAAGAAGTCAATTGAGACACATTTTTAAGAAAAAAGTAGATCTTATGTACACAAAAGTTGGCCATTCCTGCTCTACTGTATATTCATTTTTATTATTTTCAACAGAAGCGCATTTTGGGCTGTACCTCTCAGTATTTTAAATATAAGGAAATATAAGGCTTTCAATAATAAATGCTATAAACTTTTTCTTAGTTTTATACAATTTATCATTTTATTTTCATCACATTTACTTTCATGTTCTAGAAATATTTAAATACCTGTCACTTCTTCACTTAAACTTGTTATGAGTTCTTGTGTTAGCATCAAATTTTTACAATCATTTTCTGAAATTCCAGCAATCATCTGTAATTATAAAATACTATGATTATGAAATTGTATAACAACAATTATTTAGGTTTTAAATATAAAATCTTAAAATGAAACGCTGCATTCCATTTTGGAATGGTAATTGTAAGCCTGAAGATGGCCTATAATAAGTAGGTTGAAAACGTTTGAGAAATAAAAATAATTACTGCTTGGCAAAAATTCAGATGTGTTGATATAATTAGTTATAGTTGCTGAGAAAGAGGTGATAGTATAAAATCTTAATTATTTTAAAAATCTATTAAAGCTAAGATAAATTTAAGACAATTTGAAGTAAGGTTCAATCAAAAAATGTTAAATTCTCCAACATTGCCTATTAACATTAAAAAAACAAAAAAAAAAAACAAAACCTATTATATCAAAATTATGCTTTCTATCAACTATGGAATAATTAACAGAAACAACCTTCATCATATTATAGTTTTCATACTAGAGACACTGAATAATTCATTTTTCTTTTTTTTTGCAATTTTATAAAATTATATTTTCACATGATTAGAAAAAAACAGAGAAGCTAATTATAAAGAAATTCATCAAACCAGCTCCTTAGTGTTTTTCTTTTTGAGAAAGTATAATTTAGAAATATAAAACTATCAAATCTTCATTCAGTCATGATCAGACAAGTTGCTGACTCTTGATGTAAAAATGAATTAATAATAATAAAATTTAATAATTATGAACACAGTGATGTATGATGATTCTCTGATTTAACATTCAATGGACACAGTATTGTCTGAATAAAACAGTAAAATCCACTTATTGTAAATCACAGATAGATGTAATGCTATTAGAATGTATTTTAATACAAGGTAAATAGGCATTTTTAAGCTAAGCTGATTATAATAAGCAGTTTTTTTACTGTCAGCCTCAACACATGGAAAATACCCAGTCAGTTTTAACCAATGCTTTAATCATTTCAATTGTTATTTGTAATTTAAATTGTCAGAATTTGTTATTACAGTATTTCAATTACATGTTGGTCAAATTACTGTTAATCATAATATATTTTTATTATAACTTGAATATGTCCTTTTAATGTCAATGAAACCAAAATTGCCATGATGTTCAGTCTTATCTCTTTCTATAAACCTCTGCTGTTTAAATTATGAGGAAATCACAATACTTCTCCAACTTGAACTCTTTCCTCAATATTTCCCAGCAATATTCTCCATGTGTCTTTTCACCTGTCCTCTTCAGTGTTTTTTGCCTCTGGAGAACTTTAGATATCCTGTCACTATCACACAACCTGTTTCATCTCATTATTTCATTACTAATCCTGATATTTGTAATCTTATATAAAGATAGTTCACAAAATATTAAATACCATTTAATCTTCATTTTAAATATCTTAGACATTTAGTTTCAAAAGCTAAGCCTTATAATCTTTTCTGGTCTGTCAGCTGACAGCTGAGGCAGTTAAGCTGTCAGCCTACTGCTCTGGAACCAGGATCTAGGCAATTGAAAAATTCCAGGAATTTTAGTAGTCTGTCCAGGATATGTTGAGTGTCATATCTCACCATTAAAGGATAATTATTCCTTGCTCTAACAAGACTAAAATCTGGATCTTTATTTTAACATTAAAACACGCATTCCAAAAATGGGTTTTTATCCTATCCAGTATTCCTTTCCACATACAGTTAATACAAAAGAATTTGATTATTACACTTTTAGTTGAGAATTTGTAATGGGCATAATCTAAACCAGTGTTTCTCAACGGGGGCAATATTGCCCCCATGTGGGCATTTTTCCATGTTAAGGGGGTGATTAGTGACAATTTATATTTTGGGGGCAAAAAACAATTTTCTGGGCTATATTAAAACATTATATTAAGAATAATTAGATATTTTAATCGTTNTCTAAACCAGTGTTTCTCAACGGGGGCAATATTGCCCCCATGTGGGCATTTTTCCATGTTAAGGGGGTGATTAGTGACAATTTATATTTTGGGGGCAAAAAACAATTTTCTGGGCTATATTAAAACATTATATTAAGAATAATTAGATATTTTAATCGTTATATCGTACAATAATTAAACAAATAATATTATACTAGTCACTAGTCTATTCAATGCAGTACGAATTTGCCGTTAGCCTTGGCCCTCGGCATCGGAATTTTGAAGTGAAGGGGGCGATACTACGTTGAAGGGGGCGATACTACGTTGAAGGGGGCGATGATTCGTTAGAGGTTGAGAAACACTGATCTAAACTAAAGTAAGTTTAAAAAAGAATTTTCTGTAGTTTTGATGTATGTCTATTATTTAGTTCATATTTTCTCTCTCACCAATTGTTTTTTTCTTTCAAAGTTTTAAAATTTTATTTTGTATTTAAGACTACAAAATTTAAAAGTTCCTGTGTTTAAAATGGAAGGGGGAAAATATTGTAATCGAAAGGGAAAAATTCTTTTCAATTGTTGGAAAAAAACAACTAGCATCTAAACTGTAGTAAATCGCTATGTCTATTATTGTACTTTTAACTGAAAATTTATGGTCTAAATTAGTATTCATTTTAACTAACTGAAAAGGAATGCAAAATAGAAAAAAAACCTTAAAGTGCACATGTTGCAAGATTAAAAACAAAGATCAAGACATTGTTAGTGGTCTTCTCTGTGCAAGACTCAAGATTAAGAGCTTAACTTTCATTTAAATTTGCAGAAATCTTTCAAATCACAAATACATCATATTCATAAAAATGTCAAATAACGGCAATTGGAAATACAGGTAGCCCTCGATTTACGCCGCAGTTCCGTTCCTACAAAAGCCGGCGCAAATCAAATCGGCGTAAAACGAACCCATACAGTCGACCCCCCTATAACGTGGGTTCCTATGACGAAAATTCCTATAACGTAGCGAAAAAATTGTTGCAATATTCATATAAAGGAACTCCTAAAACGTCATTGCCGACTCGTGTCGCGACAAGATTGATAGAATCTGGACCAATAGTGGATGAGCAGCGAACTACTTTCCTCCGCCCTGCGTCACGCTACGGAGAGTTTAGGCGGCTAAATTGAGTTTGCTATCGTCTGTACAGTATTATATATAAATTAGCTACTGTATATATATATTAATTATATATTAACTTAATTTATTGTAACTTTATTATAATTATATATATGCTTTCTGCCGTCTAGCGCCACGCTACGGAGATTTTANTGAAAACAGTCAGTATGAGTGCTACTGAAGAAATTGCTAATTTTAATTTAATGATTAGAAACTATGCAAGACATTGTGCTGAGTTAGGTGAATTTGTAGATGTTAATGATGACTCATTATTGTCTAAAGATAAAATAAGGCAAATTTATAAACTTATATTGAAAGAAGAAAGAAGGCAAAAGAACTCTTGAAAATGTTACAGGGAAAAATTAATGTGATACAATCATATTCAGGTGAGATATTTCAATTACCATATAAATTGACATGGGAACAAAGGCTTATAAATGTTGAAAATGTGATCTTAGCATACAACTCTAGTCATTTTATTTCTTCTATACGAACTTATGAATTAGGATTACTACTATGTGAGCTTAATGAAAATTATAAGTTAAGATATTGGCAAAATTTGGAAACTTCAAGTTGGTCTGATTGGTTTAAAACTTTTTGTTCACAGAAAAACATAACAATAACTTTAAGACATGAAAGACACATAAGAAAGTTTTATAAAGATATAAGTCCATATCCTTATCTTTTAAACACGGGGATGACAACATCAGAATTAACAAATGTCTTACCAAAGTTTTTAAACGTTTAATTGCTTTCCCTGAATATAAGCCTTTTTTCAACAGTCGTTTTATCAGTGATTGAGAAATCTCTCTATGTCACAGGAAGAGAGGATGTAGCTTGTCTGTTTTCAACCACCATTTTGAAAGTGATGTCATAGGAAGAGAGGACATAGTTTGTTTGTTTTCAACCACCATTTTTAACTGATTGTACATCATATAAAAATAAAATAAAATGTTTTTATTTAAAAATTTTAGTTTCGAATTTCTTACATTTTTCAGAAAAAAGTATCCATCTTTGTTTACATTTTTGATTTCTTTCATTAAGAATTTCGGAATATGGTCGAATATGATGCTCCTTTTTACATTTGCACTTCACTCCCAACATTGTCTAACTCACAAACTTCATCCGTCAAACTTTCCTTAGTTGAAAGGATACGTTAACCCGACGTAGAGCTACAGACGAGCGAAGACACTGATTGGTCGACCACCGGTCGCCGTAGCGCATATATAAGGTCAGTTTGAGCGGGAAAATTCAAGGTGGCTAAGGAGAGATAAATAACAACTAGCCAACAAGAAGTAGATTTGTCTCACTAACGATAATTTGTGATCACCAGAAGTGCTATTGCATCGTAATGTGTTTTCCTGAATGAACTGATACGGGATACATTCATTGGCGCTATGGATTCGGATGCCATTTATTGGACTGTTAAGTTTAATATCGTGACTCGTGGGTACCTAAACGTTTAGTATTTTAATATTAATTTAATGCAAATTTATACATACCCAATAATATTAAACAGAAAAAATAAATATATTTAATAAAAATCTTTGTTTTAACGAACGTACAATGTCGTGGCTCGGTAAATATGTCAACACTGAAATGAAAATCAGTCTAGCATAGGGAAAATCAGGGAATTACACCTCAAAACAGCAAATTGCGCAGTGGCGTTATTGTGAATCAGCGTAAATTGAACCGGTGTAAACTGAGGGCTACCTGTACTTGCTGTCAAGAAAGACTGATTCAACAGCAAAAGTCCCAAAGATCAGTAAACATCTCCAGTTAGTATGAGAACTTGACATCAAATTACATGTTGGTGTTGACTCTCCCAGGGCCCAAGTTAGTCTAGAATTTCACCTAAAGACAGATGAAGAACCAATTGGAAAAGTGAAGTAGGATGAATTGAGGTGTTTGATTGACAAACTCTCTAAAGATTGTCCTTCAGACACATGGTTCCTCTCATTCCAGTTTAAGAGGTTCCATGCCCTTCAAAGTTTCCTTTGACAGATCCCTGCAGCTTCTCCCAATCAACTCCATTCCTCAACCTTGAATGACTTGTGCTTTAGGACACTGAGTCATCTGACCAGTTTGTATATAGTTAATCATGCCCCCCTGCCCCAATTAACTACACAAAAACTTCCAGTTTGAACTGGGAGTAATATTATTTCAATTCAAAAATTTCCTGTGAAAGGAGTTAGATAGACGACCAACATGACTATTCCTAACAGGAAAAGTATGTTGTACAGTGGCAAGACACTACTAATCTGAGGTAGAGAGCATATATTTTAAATTAAGTTAAAAATGTGATTAAAAATTGCAGACCGGCATTGTGATGTCACAATAAATAACTGCTTGTTTGGGATACAATATATTTCAATATTGAAAACACCCTATGATCTTTGATTAGTCTCACTCAGGGTCAATATACAGTGTGTGATCGGTTAACGAACATAATCTGTTCCAAGACTGTTTGCTATCTGAATTGTTTGTTAACTGATTATCGATTTACCATAGGTTTTTATGGGAATTTGATTAATTCATTCCAGAGACTCCAAAAAATAAAAAATATATACTTTTTTACTACATTTATTTATATGTAATAGTAAAAATACATATATATGCAGTCTTGCATTTTTATTAGTCATGTTTTTTCCATTTGTGGGGGTTAAAGAATCTATCCAATGTTGATTGCTTTTCTTTTTTCTTCAGGATTTTTCCAAAGTAATTAATAGTATTGTAATTGTAGAGATCCACAACCCTATTAACCTTATTCTGGTTTAGATGCCACTTGGATGATTGTTGTTCTGACATCCTCATCCTCCCACTTCTTCAAAAGATCTTTAGTAACAGATGTCGACATTGGTCCTCTTTCATCTTCCTCTTTTTCAAAAGAAAAAAACACTTTGCTGAGTTTCTCGGTATTCTTCGAGTTTCTCGGTTCTTCTGTTGTCAGATCAGTTTCAGGTTCCATTATGAGCTCTAAAATGCTCTTTATTGATGTGATTTTCATTACTCCATTAACAGCTTGAGACTTCTTGATATATCTTTCATAGCTAAGATTGTACCTACTGTAGACCTGTTCAAGCCATACTGCCTAGCAACACCAGACATCTTGTGCCCACTTTCTACCTTGGCTATTATCTCTTACTTGGTTTCTATGGTGAGCACATTTCTTGACACTCCTCTTTTTAGGCTCCATAATATTATCAGTTTCTTTTTTAAATAAAAAGTTCAGAAAAGCACTTACAAAAATTCAAAGAACAGAAATCAACTAGCCCACAAAAAATTACCAAAATGCAAGGCCTGGATGAAATTCAAAATTTGGTATTAAAATGTGAACAAATATCCAATGAGACAGTTAAACTTTCACCTTTTGTAAATAAACCCCGATGCAAAACTTAACAAGTGCCCATCCGATAGTCTCACAAAGACTATAAAAAATTATTTGTCAGAAAAGTAAACAAATAGCTGGAATTACAAGGGAGAGTTTCAAAATTCAGGGAAATACTATCTGATCAGTATTGGGTTGAGTGTCAATGTTGACGTCTCCCATGCTATGAAAGGTTTTGAATTGTTACCTGAAGATAAGGAAAATCAATATTCATTATTTTCTGTCGCTTCTTTTTATGTTTGTTCAGTAAAGTGTTAGTTGTCCGATCAGAAAAATCTTTCGCAAAAGTGTTCGTTATCTGAACTGTTCATTAACCGTTCACTAACTGTATACAGTTATAAACTTATTTTCATAAAGTTCATTCAATGTAAATACCCTTTTTGCAAATTTTCACAAAATTCATCTCCTCCAGAATGAAATATACTTCATACTGTCATTGCATCATAAATATCTTTCACACACTTTTCTTGATAGCATCTTGATCCAAACATATTCAGTCAAGATCTACTACATTTCTAGATAACATTGCAAAAGTACCTTTACAAACACTTTAGCATTTAAAAGTTTTCAATTCAATTTTGTCTTACTTTTTAACTAACAAGGGAATCTTACGATCTTGGAAATTCAGTTCAGGATGAGACTTTGCAGGTTAGTAGTATACCTCAAGGGTGTCCACCCAGAAGAATTGTAAAGTGCACTAGCCAGAAGATTCTGAGAAAAAAGGCTCCAAAGTTTTAATCACAGCTCATATACTGATCGATTTTATACTATGGCAGTGCAGCAAAATGGCTGATTCTGTAGCAAACTCGCTTGAAATGCGGGCGATCTAGGTTTGATCCTAGCCTTGGCTAACTTTTTTTTTATTTTTAATCGTTTTAAAAATTATAATAACTTTTAAATAAAGTTAATGACCTAAAAATATTATCAATTAAATCATAAATAATTTTATTTTATTTATGAAATGCCTATGTACAATAGGGCAACAGCTATACTCTACTCTTCCACATAGAAACCAAATTCCAACAGGAATAAGCATCCAGGTAATCAGAATATCGACGCGGCATCATTGTAAATTTGAAGAACAGGTTTCTAAACCGGTTCCTCAAATTTACAATGAATATTTTTAACCTCGCCACAGCTTATAATATCTTAAAATTTGTAATAACTTTTTAATGACAATAGTAATTAAAGTTTTAATTTACCTCCATTAAAAATGCATTTGAAATTATTCAACTTTTTAAAAATAAAATATCTTTAATTCACATTTTAATTAGCTGTAACAGTCATTTCATAAATAAAATAAAATTATTTATGATTTAATTGATAATATTTTTAGGTCATTAACTTTATTTAAAAGTTATTATAATTTTTAAAACAATTAAAAATAAAAAAAAAGTTAGCCAAGGATAGGATCAAACCTATCAATAGATCGCCCGCATTTCAAGCGAGTTTGCTACAGAATCAGCCATTTCGCTGCACTGCCATAGTATAAAATCGACCAGTATATGAGCTGTGATTAAAACTTTGGAGCCTTTTTTCTCAGAATCTTCTGGCTAGTGCACTTTACAATTCTTCTGGGTGGACACCCTTGAGGTATACTACTAACCTGCAAAGTCTCATCCTGAACTGAATTTCCAAGACCGTAAGGTCCCCTTGTAAGTTTTATTTCTTTGCCATTATATCATCCAACCAGTTTGGCATATGTTTGGTGATTAGCTATATCATCCAACCAGTAGAATTCAGAAAGCTGATGAGCAAGTGGTCAAAATGGCAGCCTACTGCTCTGGGAGTGATCTGTCTAGATATGTAGGCCCAGTCCCTCACCGCCCGGCTGTACCATTGTGGGTCTGGCTGAACCAATAATGGACTTGCTAAATGAGGCCCTCTTAGTGCCCACAAGGCAGAAAGAGTTAGTGTTAAAAAAAAAAAAACTAGTAGAATTCTGTTATCTGATATAACCCTGTAGAGAATTCTATTCAAAAATAAATATATCTTAACTAGTTTATTATTATTCAAGTTTTTTTTTTTTTTGTTATACAACAGTAAGGAGTTCAATACTTTCATATAAATTCTAAATTATTGACTACGAAACAAAAAAAATTGGTTAATTTTTAAGTTTATCTAATTAAATATTGCTAACTGTTTAAAAATTCATAATAAATAATTACTTGATAAAAAACATTGTAGCTTCTTTCTAGTCTTGGAATTGTTGTTACCCTTGTTTTCTCTAGAAGATAAGTAGATATTTTAGCACCAGTAAATTCTCCCCTATTAAATAAAATTAAGAAGAATTGTAATAATTTGTTATTCTTTAGATCTTTCAATTAGAATATTTTTATTAAGCATTTTCAAGTTTTACTCATCATAATTGCCAATTATTATTTAATTTTATAAATATGGCTCAATATTTAATCGTAAAAAACTTTTTATTTAATTTCTTTTCTCCATAATATCCACAATAAAACATTTTAAATCGTAGTTAAATATTCACATAATTAAAAAATTCATTTTTGAGATTATTACATAATATAAATATAAAATTTAAATTTCTCAGTTACATTTTTACTTATAAAATATTAAATATATATAAATTATGGACACTATTTACATTTGATACCACTGTCAGCTGCATCTTTTTTAGAAGCCATAGCTTGAATTAGTGCCCTCTCAATTCTGTTTGGATTAAAAGATGCTGCCAAAAAATTAGTGATGAATCTGGACTATACTGATTGCAATTAGTGTACTACAATAAATTCTCAGTAAGTCAAATTTCTTTAATTTTTTGTCCTGACTTAACACTCAAAGCGTTCTGTTTTTCTATAAATCAAGTAGCTTAAAAAATCACATTTTACTAACTCAATAATGTATTAATATCCAGAAATTGAAATCACATCTAATTTTATGTGCTTTCTTTTGCATTTTCAAAGATATGAACAATATTGTCACAAAGTTGAAGATTCATATTTGTGTAGACAGTGGCACATTTCAGAATTTAATCTTGGAGAACCAGAGTTAATCTGTTTAAAAAATTCTTAATGCAAGTCCAATAAAATTTTCACCTTATATGACCACTAATTCATTAGTAGTAGTTCAAAATAGATCATTGGATGAGCATGTAGAAATTAAAGGCATGTCTTGATTCAACTAAATACAGTAACTAATAACACAAATGTAAAATTATCTGGGAGATCAAAATTTCCATCATTTATCCAATAAAATAATTTAAGAATCCAAAATTATTATTACAAATTTCTTCTGTTATTATAAAATTTTGTAATTTTAGAATATTGAAAAAATAATAATAAGTTATAAAATTTAAATCTTTATAAATTTAATACTTTTTACTAATGAGGCTATAGTGTTTAAATTTTAATAATAAATAAAACAAATTTTATCATTAGATTTATAATAAAAACTTACTTGTTATATTGCAATTGAACGAATTTACCAAATCGACTGCTATTTTTATTCTTAGCTGTAGAAGCATTTCCAAATGCTTCCAATAATGGAGTTGAATCTACAATTTTTTGTTGAACTCTTTGTGGTTGATCTTTAATTGTACTGAAATAAAATACCACTAATATTAAATCTCTAATTTCATATTTTGTTCATTAATAGTATTTTGTTTAAAATAATATAATTATTATTGATATAAAGTATATATAAAACTAATTTATGAACAAAAAAGTATCATGAACTTTTTAAAAATTGTAGGCATATAAACATACTAAATGTAATGTTATATGCATGCTAATGTTACTTAACTGTTACTTAAACTTATAATTTCAAGAATCTTACACTACTGTAATATTGCTTTATCAAATTCATTTACAAGAATAGACTTCAATCTAATGAAATTAACAACATAATTGTTACATTGAATTTTTAAAAATAATTTTAATATTCATACTAGCATGATGCTTCATTATTTACTTTGCAACAAACAGGTGATTGTTACTCCTGCAAGAATTTACTATTTCTTAAAATTCAATAAAACAAAATCAAATGCCATAATGAGTTAAAATAAAACTTAATAGAAGTCACATAATAGTTGAGAATTTCTACATGTTCAAAAGGTAACTCTAATGCATGTCAAAATCAAATATAAATACAAAATGTTGAAAAATTAGTATGGCTCATTCCTATTGGTCAAAAGCCATGCTGTAAAAAAACTCCACATAATGGCAGTTCTCCACCATTAAGATGACCACATTTGGCATCATCAAAACAGCAAACAGCTTTATCTCAAATGAATGTTGTCCATTTGAGAGATGGACGTAATTCTCCATGTAGAGATTCAACTAAGTAAGTAGCACTGGTAAAGTAAAGTATTTTTAAGACCAAAGCATCAAGATATGAGCTTTTCAAAACATTCTGATTTGCATAAGGAAATATAAACAGTCAATACAGAGTCATCTAGTTGTTTCAATGCCTAGCAATGACAACCATCAAACACCACTCATCAAACTTAGAAGTTTCTCAACTTGGCTCAAGTGAATGTACTGTACAGTACATGGATACAAAATAGTCCTCTGATGTATCTGCTGCTGGAGATGACAAGCTGTCTTCAGAATAGCTGTGAAACAGAAAACATGGCAAACATTTAGTCCTTTCTCCTGTCAGTTGTTTTAACTAATCACAAAGGACAAAATTTCAACCCACCATATCAATTTATTCCTTTTTAAACATTCAGTGAGGCCATTTGTCTAAAGATAGAAAGCTTTCATTTGCTGATGTACAATTCTGAAGAAGATGGAAAGATCTCTTGAACCAATTTGGCAAGAAGTCAATCTCAATTGCAGATAAGTTTAACTAAGAAGTTGGCTATGTCAGCAGCAAGTCTTCAATATACTATGTATCCAAATAAATTTCAATTTTCAGAATACTAGCATACTGGATTATCAGCTACTTTACCAGACATTTCAGATCAGCATTTCTCAAACTATGAGTCACATATATGAATCACTAATGTTAGGTCCTGATAAAAATTTAACAGATTACAAAATGATACGCAGAAATATTTGTAATACTTGTATTATCAAAATATCCTCTAAGAACTAGGAACAATAGATGCATCTTTTAAGTACTGAAAATTTTTAACATTTTTCTTATAATTATTATTGTCATTTAGTAATTAACTAAATGACAATAATAATTAAGATTGTAGAATGTATACATATAAAACTGATTTCTCTTTTGAACATCAAAATTGATATTTCATATAAGGTGGTAGTCATAAAGCAATTTCAGTTGCAATGATTTTGAGAATATTTCCTTGTTTACTCAAACTTTTAGGTTTATTGTCATATAGAACAATAAATTATAAAAAATAAATAACTAAGATTTTGTCAATCTGAAGTATATTAAAAAGAACATTCATTAAGTTCATAAAAATAAACTTCTAAATATTTTTCAAAGTAAAATAGACTCCTGAATAAGTTTGAAACAATCTGTTTTCTTTACAATCATCAGTCTTACATTTTTTAATACTTAAATTTCAATAATAAAGACTGAAATTGAAGTAAGTTATTTGTTAACAATCGAAATTGGCCTGAACCACTCTCAATAGAAATGTACTGTACTCAACATAGAAGTTATCATCAATGCATAATTTTATTTCGTTACATACAATGACTCCAGTTTACCAGGTTTTTTAAAAAATTTTATATTATAAACATTTGGATCTCAGAACCATTACAAACAAATACTATATATTTCTGCAGATAAGATGATAGTTGAATCATAAAAAAAAAGGTCCCAAAATCCGGGGTCATCTTATAGGACAGATACAAAAAAATTAGATTGAAATTTATATAAATTAAAACCATTATAAAAAAACAGACAAACCGTAATTATTTACTAGTAGAAAGTAGGGTATGTTCACAAAATAGAATAGCCTATACAACATTTTTTGTGAATAGTCAAGGTCCCCCAAATGCCTAAATCAGTGCAAATGTTTGCAACAATCACAAGGCAGTACTGCCAGATGCAAAAAAAAAAATAAAACTCGTTCATTCAAAAATTACAAATAGGACATAATTTTGTAAACATTATACAGTATTATCATCCAGATGATGATTGCTGATCTAAACTAAATTCATAAGCCATCGATAGTTTGGGGTCGTCTTATAATAGGACAGATATATGCTAAAACTATAAAACTTTGATGAAAATTTATACCTCATCTTATCTGCAGAAATATATGATATACTGGGTCAGGTGAGCAAAAAGTTTGAGAAACGCTGTTCTAGAATACTGGGTGTTTGATTAATAAACTTCTTTTGCAATTGAAATTTTTAATATGAAAACTAAATTATTGAAAGAATATAAAAAGATTTTGATAATACTGATGTAATTACAATTACTTCTCTCAATTATTTAATTACATAATAGTAATTATTTATGTGAGAACCAAGGGAATTAAGCAGCGAGCTAGTCCCCACTTATCAGTTTCTTTGTCAGGGGATGGCTTAGGTTAATTGAGTGGGAGGGATAGCGAGGTTGTGACAAGGTGTCGGCTGTACTCAAGGATAACACATAATTAAAGCTAAGATAAACATATTTAATAACACTAGTTAATACAGAGAATACAAAAAGGAAGGGAGGCAAAGATTATTATCTTTGCCTCCCTTCCTTTTTGTAGTGTATAGAAATAGTGTTACATAGTAACACTATTTCTAAGTCGATAATCAATAAACTTGCTTCCGTTAATAGTCTGTCTTGGACAAATAGATCCGAAAACCAAATACACACTTATATCCAACTATTTACCCATTTAAAAATAATAAATTTCTAAACAATATTCTCTAAGTTCAGTTAACTTAAATCTAGCTTGAAACCGAGAGAGAGGGAGGTTAAATTTCTTTAAGGAGTTACCTCGTTAGCAGTGGCAATCAAGGACTGCAAAATCTTTATGTTGAAGCGCGGAGCAGGCAGTTTGAAACAGTCTTGGCCCAGAGTCTTCCCTTCGGCGATCACCCCGAGGTGTGGGTGTGATCCCTTTTTATACACGTCCCAGAGGGGGAACTATCGGGAGAAAATCTGATGCAATCTCATGTAAGTTCGACTTGTGTCAGGGGTTTGTTTACATTACTTGTTGACAATCGAACTGCTCTTTAAATTTATTACTTTTTCTATCCATTATTGTGATACTTTCTCATCATAAATTTGACTACAGCTGTCAAACTCACTGAATTAATTGCCAAAGGTGACTAGGGTCAGAGTATCTGTGGTGCAACTGAGTGATGATTGTTCAATTGGTAGGTCATCTGATCTGTTTTCTTATCACTTCAATCAAACAGAATAGGAAAGGGAGGATTTGTTCAGTTCAGTCTACCCTTGTCAGTGACCTTTTTTGTTACCCTCTATCGTGTAACAAGTTGAGGTTCTTATTAATTGGCTACTTATTTGTAAATCGTAACGAATGTGAAAATGAATAATCCCGTCATGAGGAGAGAAATTTATCTGTCGTCCTGAACGTCTTTGAAAACTTAAAAGGTTACCTTTCGCAGTGACGCATAACATGGATGGGTCAAGAGGTCTAATTTCGACCTCCAAGAAAGTGGAAACTGGAGGAAGAAGGGAAATAATGATGAATAAAAAAGTTTGTTTTAAGTTTTAAAACTTACAAAAGGGCTTAAATCTTCACATTTAGTACTTTATAATTATATAATGATAATAAAATAATATGCATTTAGTATTTTATATATCAATATTGTAATAATACAATTTCAAAAATAATAAAATAAGCAAGTTAAAATTTCAAATGCTCATTAAAAAGGTTTTTGTTACTTTACAAAAATAATGAAAATTATTATTAAAATTGATTTGATATTCTTCAAATATTCTTTATTAATTGAAGAGTATTTAAAATTCACTTGATATTATTGAATTATTTACCTGAAATTTGAAGTTGCTACACTAGTAAGGTACTTCAAAACTTCTGATGTGGTGTATGTCTGTAATAAATACTCATTCTAAAACAATCAACTCAATATCAAATCTTATTTAATAGTTTTGATGTAAATGCTTAAATTAATAAAGTAATAAACAAAATAGATCATTATTAAACTGTTGTTTTCTTGATAGTGAGGAAATAGACTACATAAATGTGTGTGTAGAGTACTTCAAAAAGAAATGTTAACATTTATGTGATGATGTAAAGTCATTGTAACAGAGGTAGCAGGGCTGTACTTTTTTTTTCTGACAACTCTACAATCAGATCATGACTTCCTGCACATGATAGAGAGAACTAGGTAGAGAACAACCTGCCACCATAAATAAGGCATAAGTTACTTCCCATATTAATATTAACATTTCTTTGAAGCATCTTATATTTAGAATACTACTACTACTAATTAATTTGTTCAAAATATGTTCTATTTAAATCATTTATAAATAAAAATGTCAGAAATAATATTAGTTATACCTAGCAAAATATTACTGTGAAAAAATTGAAATTACAAATAAACAGGAAAAATAAAAGAAATTTATTTACATAAAATTTATTACTATAAAACTCATGAAATTTCTCAGTATACATTTTGTGCTTCATGTACTCAGATAAAAAATTATTCATTTCTGCATGTAAATTAAGTTGACATTTAAATGTTTTTATTTGCATTTCATCTACCACTATGAGTTTTTTTTGCTTAAACACCATTTTTATTTGTAAAAAGTGATATAAATCTTCCTGTGACCAAAATCTTAAGTCACAATACTCTTTTCATTAACAACATAAAATTAAAAAATAATCTGAAATCAATAAAAGAATGTCAACATCTTCAATGTTCAAAAGAATGCTTCTGATAAATAAAACTTATGTTTAATAGTCAGAATGATAGGGAGGAGTTCCACTATAGGAAACACAAAATTGAGGAAATTTTCAATTATTTTAAATGAAATTCAACAATAAAATAGATGTATAAAGCCTAAAATGATGTATAAAGCTTAACTAATTTATATAAAAGTAAAAATTCATTAATATATAAAATTTGAATGATATGAGTTATATCATTCAAATTTTATATATTAATGAATTTATGTATGTATAATTAAACAAACAAGCACTCATCTTTAGATTTTTTCCTAAATAATAATAAATTGATTAATAACAAAACTATTGATTTCAATTCAGTTGTTTTATGATAAAAAGATAATGTACAGTACATATTTAATATAATGATAATAAGAACAAATCACATTCTATTAAAAATATTACACCATAATGATGTTTCAAATATTTAAAACTTTCTATTTTTACTTAAAATTTAAACTTATTTCAAAACTTGGAAAGAATTTATATATATAATAATTACTGTATTCATTAAAAAAAATTACAAAATTATTCTATAGACATACCTGTGTGATGACAAATTATTTGAAATTTTTCAAAACAATAGTACTTTTCTTACCTTCCCAGCACCACTTTCTCCACTGACAATGATAGCCTGATTAATCTTTCCTAAATCAGAAGCAAGAATGTAATGTGCATTTTCTGCTACTGCATATACATGAGGCTCTTGAATACTCTAAAATTTGTAATGAGAAAAAGTTCATAAATGTTTTAGATAACAAACTAAAAATTAATATTGTATGTATTCAATCATTATTACCTGACATTTTGACTTGTGATACAATTCTATTGTTTTTTGGGTATACAAATGCTGAAAAACTGTACAAGGATTAATAGCTAATAATGTTCTTCCACCCCAAACGTAAAATAGACCATTAGCATAATTATTTTGCAAAACATGTAACACTAAAAATAAAAAAAAAATTTTAAATAAATGTTTAATGACAATTTTAAAAAAGTAACTTGAAACTTTTTATTTGAATACATAACGAAAAACAAAATTGAAATCTGTGAGATCCAGGAGTTAATTATTTGATTAACACTAATGTGGGAGAAAAGTTTTCCCCGATTTACAATATTTCCATCTTCCATGGGTCCAATAAATAAAGGATGAGTAAATATTAAGTCAAGCCATTAACAATCATTCAAAATCATCAACACTGTCCAGTTGTTAACGCTTGGGAACATCAATGGCTTAAACAATTCTACAATAAAAAGAGAACAAGTCCAATTCCCACTGATGACACATTTGAATGTCATCCCTGGACAACATATGGTCACAAGACCGAATTCCCACACCTGATAGTGATATAACACCCAACATTCAAGGTGGACATTAGAACAGACGGACATTCAGGGCAGACATAACTCAAAGAGAGCTTGCTTCACCATAGTAGCAAGTGGCTTGCAAGACTCCTGTCCCGCCATACTCCAAGCAGATACTCTCCCCAAAGCCACAAGCCATGGCTAGTTCACCATTCTCCCTACAAAGGCTTATGACGACCCAATACTATGAGAGGTCAACTGTTCATCTACTCAATAGAAGTATCTTACTTAGAGCAATGTAAACTCTCTCTTGGTCGACTTAGATATTACGTTAGAGTTAGTATATAGCACAAAGTTTAATTAAATAGATATTGGATTGTTAAATGTGCTCGTGCCTGCGTGTAACTATGGCAGGTCATTGTATCACATGCCTTTAGTTTATTAAAATTGTTAGTTAAACTGGCATTAATTTCAATTGTTCAAACCGATCACCCTATCAACTTACCCACGGCTCTCCCCACTTGATATAAAGCCCTCCAATAAAAGTATAACATATGAAAATAGCTAGTTAGAATAAGACCTTCTACTATCCTAACTGGTGTCAGGAAAAACAGTCCTCAAGATTGTTAGATCTTGAGAGAAAGACAATTAAACAGCCATCCAGTGACAATTGAGCAGGACTTACAGTCCTGATTTGGGAAAGGGTTCAGAACTTTACTCTGTAACCCCTGGCTTCTCACAAATCAGATAATTTAGAAAATCTAGCATTTCAGCTTATTTCAATTGAAAGAATTTAGAAAATTTTGGAAGAAAAGATTGATCCAGAATGGCTATTAATGTTAATTTAATTCAATAATTTTACTTTCCCAGCTTCTTATGTATATAACATGGGAAAATATTGGAATCCTGTCAAATTTGACCCTCCCACTATTTTGCAAATCTGTAAATTTTGAGGCCCCCTAAAGAAATTCCATAAATATGTACTGTACAGCACAAACATGCATGCATCTGTGTGTTGGTTTTTAAATGCATTTAATATCTCAGGATGGAATAATGATTGAGAAATGAAATTTGGCACAGTTGCTTGTGTATAAGAAGCACCAATGCCATTATTAAAATTCTGGTAATTAAAGGTTGAGGAAATGTGCGGATAGAGGAGTCATATGTCATATCTTTAGTAGGAATGGACTGAATGACAAAAGGCACTTATTAGAATTAACATTTTAAAACATCTCTATCCTCAAAATTAAGCTTTTTGTATTTTATAATTAATAATATAAAAATTTTTAAAAATCTCATAACATGAGAGCGCACAATTTAAAATTTGTTTGCCAAGAAATTTATGCAACTTGTTACTGGATTTTTTATTGTTAATTTTACAGTATACAAGGTGACTTTTGGCCCTTCTATATGCACTAGATTAAAAATTTTTCACTTAATAATGAAGTAAAATTCACAATAATATTGAAAACTCTATTGTATAAACTATGATACATGTCCATCCAGAGATTAGAGATTTAATTCTATATTTAGAATTAAATGGAAGTCAAACCATATCCAACAGTAGCATGCCAAATGCTCTAAGTTGCTGAATTACACTTATTGTTCTTGTTTTTTCCATCCTTAATTTCATTAAATGTTTCAACTAACTTAAACCAGTTATTTATGTTAGAGCTTATCATATCAGTAAATATGAACACAAAACAAACAAAAAAATAATTTCTTAAATTTAATATATATTTAAGTTTACAAAATAAAGATTTTACAATAATTAAAACTAGTATGTACAAAGTATATAAAATACACCCAAAATGAATTTTGGACTCTACAATAGTCCCTCTTCAGTTGGTGTTTCAATTAAACTCACAAGATAAAAATACATAAAAGTTATATTAAAAGGCCGAAATAACGAAAACATTACAATTAAGAAACTGGCATTCTCACAAGGGCTGCGAAGTTGGTAAAAAAACATTAGACTTCCAACACCTGATAATTTTAGTAGGCTGACTCCAACTCTGGCAAAATTAAATACCAAGTCATTTTATGGGAGGCAGAGGCACTCATAGATGGTTACCCTACTCTGAACTCTAAAAGGAGCCCTGGCCATTTACCCAAATACTTTCATAGTTAGTATTTTTAATATTTAACTTACATAAATATTTATTTGAATAAAAAAATTAATTTTTAATAAATATTTAATAAGAGGAAAAAGGGGAGCGATAAAATTCTACATCTACAAAATCTTTATTCTACAGCTTTCGCACTTCAATTTCACCTTTCAAGAAAAGTTAGTCCAACTAAAAAGTGTGCAATCTAGCTACTTCAGCAGCCCATTGTTTAGAAAAGAAAATTATATACTCTGATCAATTAGTCTGGCTCATTCATAAAAATAGAATATTTATTTAGAACAGGGATAATAAAGGAATGAATCAAAAATATTCAAATTCAATTGGGTCAAAATAATTTAACTACTAAACACAAATACTATAAAGAAAACTATTAATACCTATTTAATAAATTAAATTGTTACATTTTGTATTTAAAATAAATGAATTATAACCTAATACAAAAAACATTTTAAAAAAAGTATTAAATATAAAATAAATTTTCTTTCATTTAAATAAAAAAAACTAAATTAAATTTAAAATGCCGGCATTGGAGTTGACACTATTCCCAACTTCGACTCCTCTGGCCAGAAATTCCTCCCGATTCAGATTCAGCAGCCCTGATTCTCACAAGTGCAATACAATAACTTCTATCCTTTTCATGTTTTCCATAATCAAGCCAGTTGTAGAGAGTTAATTGATGTCTCTGAAGGATTGACGGAAACATAGAACTAAATAAAAAGAAAAATAATGCACTTTTAGAATCAAATTCCAGGGATATAGTGATCAAAGTACAACCATTTGTATATTTATAAACCATTTTATGCCATTAATCTTTATTTTTACTAATAATTATACCAATCTTCATCTATTTTTACACCCAAATTATCATTAATTATTTTTTCTTTCTTAACTTTTAAAATTTCAATATGTTCATAATATTTACATTTATTAATATTTGTTTCAAACTATGGCTTTTATCGAATCTATACTGTGATCACTATTAATCTGGAATTTGATTGTAAAAGTACATTCTTTTTCTTTTTATTTACTGTAATTTCAGTCAATCCTTCAGAGACATTAATTTTAAGTATTGTGTCCATTGCTTTATTGTTTGATACTTTGATAAGAAGGTCTGTAACTGATTGTAATTAATTTTGTGTAGAACTCTGTATAGCTGGCTTGGTTATGGAAAACATGAGAAATATAGATAATACTTATGAGATAATGCCAGTTTCTTAATTGTGATGTCTTCATCATTATTTTGGCTTTCCAATATAACTTATGTATTTTTTATCTTGTGAGTTTAATTGAAACACCAACTGAAGAGAGAATATTTTAAAGTCCAAAATGCATTTTGGGTGTATTGTATACCTTTTAGATTTAATTTTTGTAAAATTCTTTTATTCTATTGTAAACTTAAATATAAAATAAATTTTCTTTCATTTAAATAAAAAAAACTAAATTAAATTTAAAATGCCGGCATTGGAGTTGACACTATTCCCAACTTCGACTCCTCTGGCCAGAAATTCCTCCCGATTCAGATTCAGCAGCCCTGATTCTCACAAGTGCAATACAATAACTTCTATCCTTTTCATGTTTTCCATAATCAAGCCAGCTGTAGAGAGTTAATTGATGTCTCTGAAGGATTGACGGAAACATAGAACTAAATAAAAAGAAAAATAATGCACTTTTAGAATCAAATTCCAGGGATATAGTGATCACAGTACAACCATTTGTATATTTATAAACCATTTTATGCCATTAATCTTTATTTTTACTAATAATTATACCAATCTTCATCTATTTTTACACCCAAATTATCATTAATTCTTTTTTCTTTCTTAACTTTTAAAATTTCAATATGTTCATAATATTTACATTTATTAATATTTGTTTCAAACTATGGCTTTTATCGAATCTATACTGTGATCACTATTAATCTGGAATTTGATTGTAAAAGTACATTCTTTTTCTTTTTATTTACTGTAATTTCAGTCAATCCTTCAGAGACATTAATTTTAAGTATTGTGTCCATTGCTTTATTGTTTGATACTTTGATAAGAAGGTCTGTAACTGATTGTAATTAATTTTGTGTAGAACTCTGTATAGCTGGCTTGGTTATGGAAAACATGAGAAATATAGATAATACTTATGAGATAATGCCAGTTTCTTAATTGTGATGTCTTCATCATTATTTTGGCTTTCCAATATAACTTATGTATTTTTTATCTTGTGAGTTTAATTGAAACACCAACTGAAGAGAGAATATTTTAAAGTCCAAAATGCATTTTGGGTGTATTTTATATATTTTATACATATTAGTTTTAAGTTTATGAAGGTATTTTACAATAATTTTATTTTAATTTAATACAATAATTTAAGTTTATGAAGGTATTTTACAATAATTAAATGTATAATAAATTTAAGAAATTTATCAATCCATCAATAAATCTTACCTCATGTTTTGAGGAATTAGTGAACCTGTTATGTGGGTTACACCCAAAAGCATACGAACACAGAAAAGATTTAGAGATAATGGTTGATCTGATATGCTTTCAGTCGTTTTTCAGTTTCCAAGGTAAAGTTTATAAGCAGTTAAGGGGAGTTCCGATGGGCAGCCCGATGTCTGGCCTGCTCTGTGAGTTGGTGGTGAGAAAAATAGAACGCATGACGCTTATCAACTATAATGAATACATAATCATGTATAAAAGATATGTAGATGATGTTCTAATTATTTGGAAGAATGACGCAATGATAAAACGATTCTTAGGCCAAGTGAACTCTAACCAACATGNCAGATAACAGATGTTACTTCCTTTCACAGAAGAGAACATCCTCTGACTTTCCCTTATCTGGTTAAAATCCAGCTCAGATGGGAAATGGTTACCCCTCATTCATCCCCCCTTTCATCTGTTCTCACGAAAGAGTTACTGGCCGATGATTGGTCGGCATTCAGAAGATATAAGGGAAATTAGTCAGAATTCGGAGAGTTCAGCGACAGATCCGAAAGCATACAAACTCCACATACATTTCTCTCCTGATGACCAACGTCCTCAGACGAGTCACATATGGAATAAGTCTGCACGTAGGAAATATACTTTTATATGTGTGCACGTATTGATCTCCCATACGAAGAAGTAACTGAACTTGCATACAGAGAAGAAGACGGACGACATCTGAAACAGGTCGTTATAACGTTTTTTGTGAGCTCTCTATCGATCGCGATAAGGGTAGAAATAAGTATAGCTATCTACCGATGTGTATATTGGTTGTAGTAGTTCTGTCTTTTGTTTATCCACCTTTTGTATGATTTAAATTTTTGTTCTATTAAATTTATTATTTCGTTTTAGTTAAAAATGTCTTTTAATTGCATGACTGGATAAGATCTCATACGCGTGTTAATCCGCGTATAATAAGATTGATTAACTGGTGTCGGGACCCTGACAATTTGGGATAAAGACCTCACAGTCTTGAATCCCCTTTTCTTAAAATTACCACCCTCCTATAAAACGTTACGAGAGCTGATCTCACGATCGCGCGCCGTAAGTGTCGTAGACTAAGATCTATGTCCTGGCTGATCTCACACTTCTTGGACGTCAGCATTGAATTTAGGAATGGAACTTTATGCACGAAGGTCTACGTCAAGCCCACGCATGGTCCGATGTATATTCCGGCAAATTCTAATGACCCAACGGTTTATAAACTATCCGCATTTAGGGCGTTAATCAGAAGAGCGTTTCTCTATTGCACAAATGTAATGGACACGATGAATGAGCTGTGTAGGATCAAAAAAGTTGCAAAAGAGTTAGGGTTTGGAACAACAGCTATAGAGCGTTTAATAGAAGTGTACGTAAAACCTAGGAGCAGCTCTAAGAAGAAACCGGAGGCTGGGGGTAACTTCGCAAAGTTTACATATAATAAATGTCTCTTTCCGATTATGAAGCAAATAGCGAGACACAAAAACGCCAGTATAATATGTAAAAGGGCCCCCACAGTGTATAGGTTGATTAGAAATGACAAAGAAAGAATTGATGATAATGAACAGGCAAGAGAATATGCAATTCCCTACAAAAATGACCAGTTGGGAATCGATAAGGACTACGTTGGGGTCACTAATAGAAACCTTAAGGTGAGGATTAAGGAGCACCGATACGATGTCACAAAAAACAAGTGTACAACAGCATTATCCAAAATGGCGCAAGCAGATGGTTCGGTTGTTAAATGGGAGGATGCCAAAATTCTTACAAAAGTACGTTCGCCAACGCTGTCATCCATAACTGAGAAATGCAAAATTTACAGAGCGAGTTTGGCTGACAGATGTTTAAATTATAAAGATGCAACGATATTACCGTCATCCTGGAAATACATAATAAGAAGTAACACGCGTAATAATGCGTCTGCCGTGACTCAATAGATATCTGGGTTAATGTATAAAGGAATTGTTCCTTAGTGTTTGCGGCCAATTTTATTTTTCATTTTCTTGTGTTATTTTGGTTTTTTATTATTTATTGTTTTAGTTTGGTTATGCTTATTCTATTGGTTTAATTTAAACATATGTTCTAATTTGGTTTAATTTTGAATGTGTTCGATTTTGTATTAGAGTTGAACAACGGTAACCTGAAGATGGCCCATAAATTGAACCAAAAACGTTAGTTTTGTGTAATAAATATATGTTTCTCAGCAATAAGGTGTGTTGGATGTATCTGGTATATTGATTAAGAGGCTGAGTCTGAGTAAGTGGTTATTTAACTTATTGTAAATTTTATCAAGAAATAATAGAACCACACAAACAAGTAATTTAGTACATATCTGATAATTTCAGTGTTATTACTGGAAAAAGAAAAATGTCAAAATAAGTAATAATATTGGAAAATAACATCATGTATATTTAAAATTTTGTATAAAAGTAATTTGTTAAATGCTTATAATTTGAATTCATAGTAAAGTATAATTATTTCATTGGATTTTTAAAATTCTAAAATAAACTAAGAAAAATGGTAAACAAAAGAAATATCAAATTTTGGATGAAAATCAGTTTGCAATTCTTTATGACCAACACCTACAAATTCTCTCAATTTTACATGCAATTAAATTTAAATTAAAAGTTTAAATTAGTTCTAATTATTGAACATTTCAACAATTAAAACTAATTTAAAATAGTCTAAATTCAATGAAGAATATAAAATTATTCAAATAAAATGTACTGTATTACAAAATCCTAAACTAACCTGTTTCCTCATTAAGAATTGGTAATTCAGACAAATTTAAAGTGTTTTTTGTTTCCTTCATGGTAAAATACTGAAAAGAAAAAAAAAACTTTGTGAAGACAAAGTTATTAAATCAAAACTATTATAATTCATTTTATATACTTTTAGGTTTAAAAAGTTTGTGGATCAATACAATTCTGTCAATAATATTGACAGTATCTTAATTCAATATATGCAACTGAAGTATTTCCACAATCAGTGATTCACAGACAGCATGACAATCAAATCTGTGTCAGACAGCAATCCAATCCATTGGGTAGATATCCTTCCATATCAAAAAACAAGAACAATTTGCAAGAAGTTGATGTAATCATTGAGATATTGTATGATGTTTGGGGCAACACTATTTATGACATGTGACAAGTTTTTGTATTCCCTCATCATACATCTCCGTTGCCAGTCCATTCAGATGTATTGTAACTGCTTCATGCAGTTCTATCTCAAAGAATTTTCCTTCCAAAATGCCTTTCAATTTTGTGAAAAGGCAAAAGTTGCTAGATCCAGATCCAAGTTGTAGGTACAGCAATAATCCAAAACTTCCCTCTGAAAACTTTTTAAAAGTTTTGTTATCTCAGCAACATAGGACGTTGTCACCAGGAAGCATGACACAGCTAGACAATAGGCTTCTCCTGTAATTCTGAATGGCTTGATGCAGTCACTTCAGTGCAACACGTGTCAGCATTTATGGCTACTTGAATCATGAAGTCAACAATGCAGACCTTTTCAGTACATGACCCAAGAGTCAATGACAACAGTTTGTGCCCAAACATTTTTTACATACCTGAATGAAGTGAGGAGGCATACAATGAATTCAAAAACTTGTCATATAATAAAACAATGATCTAAATATCCAGGGTGACTATATGTAGATATATATGTAAAATGTAAATTGTTTTAATAAATATTTATTGGTTATTTTTAAATCAACAGCTTATCCAGAACCTGTTACTGGTGTGTTATGTGAATAATAAAGTTTATCTCTAATGTTTTCGAAATTTAAAAATTCGAAAACGTTGAGTAACAGTAACAGGTTCTGGATAAGGTGTTGATTTCCATCCCTAGTGTTGATGTGTTGATGTTGAGGTTATTTTTAATCCTAAAACAAATACTACATTCTGAATGATCCTTAAATTACATACATACACAAGTATATTATTAGATTCTGCACTATACATAATGAATATGACAATTTATGATAGGTAGTATATGCTTTTCAAAGAATAAATTTTTTTTAAATTTAATTTCTAAACAATTAATTGTATTTAAGAATTACTTTATTACTACAATTATTAATTATTTTAGCATTTAATATAATTATACTAATGCCTATTTTTATATATATATATATACAAAAAATGGACTTTTTTGTGTATATATATATATACATTAGTATACCAA